CTGCTGGCTATGACATGAACTGACCACCAGGGGGAAGACACTCCAACTGGTAGGTTAGCTTGCTGCTGGGGTCCCGCCAATCGGGACTGAGAGAGATGGGCTGGACATACCCTGGAGCCTTCCCGGGGTCCCTCCCGGGCTGGCCAACCTCCTGCATCCCTCTCCGGCCCTGATCATGCACCGGTGGGGCCCCTCAGCCTGGCCTGCGCTGTCTTGCAACCTGGGCTGAGGAACCTCCCCCGCTTCCCCTCCAGTGCACAAATTTCGTGCACTGGGGCCTCTAGTATCTCAATAAAGTTGCTATTTAGGAAAATTTATAGAGGAATCAAAGATCTGGAAGTCATGGCATGCCATGTGTAAGATCCTGAAATGCTGAACCAAACACAATTTCACTAGCAGAAAATAAGAATATGGTCAATAGTGTATATATTTACAAGATTAAAATTCACTACTTTACAACTATGAAAAAAAAAGCTAGTGGTTGAGCTAAGATTATCAGCAGTTTCTAATGTTTGCTTTTAATATTAAATTTCCATTTGTTATATCACTTTGTTGCCTACTAGGAAGTAAGCATTAACACAGTGGTTTTCAGCCTTCTGGCCCTTTAAATGCAGTTCCTCATGTTGTGACCCAACCATAAAATTATTTTCATTGCTACTTCATAACAGTAATGTTGCTACTGTTATGAATCATAATGTAAATATCTGATATGTAGGATGGTCTTAGGCAACCCCTGTGAAAGGGTCATTTGACCACCAAAGGGGTTGCAACCGACAGGTTGAGAACCGCTGCATTAACATAAAGAGGAAAAATTTGAAGGGGAAACTAAAAAAAAAAAAAATACAGTATGTTTTTATTGACTAGAGAGAGAGAGAAAGGGAGAGAGAGAGAATAAAAAACATCTGTGCTGGGGATTGAGCCCACAACCTCAGCATATACCCTGACCAGGAATAGAACCTGTGACTTCCCAGTGCACTGAGCCACACTGGCCAGGGCTGAAAGGGAAAATTTAAACTTGAGCACATCCCTAGGTAAATACTTTGATGTTTTTGTAGAGTTTTTTTGTCTTCAAATTGAGACTTTAGGAAAATATCTATATTTGTAATAACACTAAGGTTTTCTGGAGGAGCTCTGACAATTCCAGCATCCTTGAAAATGCCGTATCAAAATTGACATACCATAAAATAAGTCTTTGTTTCATCCTGGCCTTCAATTACTTGTCCATCTTCATTTCTTTCCACATCAGCTCATGTGCCCCACAGCAGTGGCCACGCATCCCTCACAACCACAAGGTGTGGCTTTGGTTCTGCTCCTTCCTCCCCTGGAATATTCTTTCCTTCTTTCTCCACTTGGCCCTTCAAAGCCCATCTAGTGTCTATTTTACCTTCTCGACCTCCCTGCCCAGGAAAGTGCCGTGAGAACAGGAAACATGTAATTCTTACTAAATGTTGTATTTTCAGCAAAAACATAGAGCCTGACAGAGAAAGTGCTCCACAAATGCTTCTTTGTATTCTCATAGCCTCGATGCACATGTCTATCCGCTTACCTCACTGTTCTGGAATGATTTTTCAGTGACCCCACCCTCACACTCTCCTTGTCTTTATCACGCATCAGATGTTCCATAAATACCTAGTACATTTAGATGAATTGAGAGTACATTCTTTAATCTCCAGATATTCAAAGTCTTAAGGAAAAACAAAACTTTCAATTTGCTAAATACTACACGGCAAAATTGTAAATGGGATGTGCGCACAGTATTGTGAGAATTCTGATAAAGGACTTTTACCTCTTCTGGCTTGTAGGTCTTCACCCTGGACTCTTCATAAAGGCTGTGAGATTTGAACTGTCCCTGGGAGACTAACAGTAAGTCCACCAGGAGTACAACAAAAGGGGGTTCTAAGCTGAAGGAATTCAGCACCAAGACAGAGAGGGTAGGGTGGTTAGTGCCCCCGGTGGGCTGGTGTGACTTCAGCGGGGGGTTCCTGGCAGGCATTGGTTGGCAGGAGGCTGGGAAAATGTGCTTGGCCTGGCAGCTCTTCGAGCCTGAACTTCACAACATGCACAAGAGGATGATTCGATCAGATCTGGGTTTTAACTCTGTGCTCATCACCCTCCTCTGCCTGCACCCTCCCAGCACACATTGACCATGTAAGAGAGTCGACCACAGTTATAAGTGTGACATGTGGACAAAGGCCAGAGCGCTCTGAATCTTGAGAACCAAGTTGAAACCCAAGACAGTGTTCTAACCATTAAGCATTCAGCCAACACCAGTGCTATGCAAATCACACACTGAAGCAGAAGTTAAGAATGTGGTAGAACCAACAAAGCTGGTTTCTATGGAAAGCCAGCATCATGCATTAAAAGATTCCTGGCCGCAGTGAAGCCTCTCTGACTTCCCCAGCCTAAAGGAATCTCACCTCTGAAATACTCTGGAGCACTTAATTCTGTACGTAGGACACTTTGAAGTTGTTTTTTCTTGCATTTGGATTGTTTTGTGTTCATTCCTGGTATCACATTTTTATCTCTTTGCCTCATTTTACAAGCTGATATCTCATATAATGCAACTTTAGAAGACACCTTGGGAGCAAGATAGGGTATAAATCACTCAACAACAAATCTTGTTAAATTTTAATTTCAAGAAGGAAGAGGTCATGTCCCACTCGCCTATATAAATCCCACAGCATGAACAAAACATATTTGTTGAATAAATTGTAGTGAAAAAAATATGGTAAAGTAAAAACATTCTTTGGTTTTTAAAAGAAGTTGATATTTTTGTAATTTTTTTCCTTGTAAAGCACCTATTTACTAAAGTATTTGCATTAGATGTTTATCTTCTTTTTAAAATTTTCATCTTTCCTAACCATGGCTAGGATTGTCCCTATATTTTCTTTCTTTTTAAATCCTCAAGCAAGGATATGTTTGTATTGATTTGAGAGAGAGAGGAAGGAAGAGAGATAGAGAAACATCGATGTGAGAAACATCAATCAGTTGCCTCCGGAATGCACCCGGACGGGAAACGAACTTGCAACCTTTTGGTGTATGGAATGACGCTCCAACCAATGAGCAACCCGGCCAGGGCTGTCCTCCTTTTTTTTTTTTTAATTTGATTTGCCCAAGTGTCATCCCTTGTATAGGTCTCTTTGGAAAAAACAACCCTTAGATTTCTTTATTATACCTATATGGTTTATAATAGAACAGAGATATGTTTATTTCAGCAAAATGATAAAGTAAAACTACAAACAAAAAATACTTGACATTCACTGAGACACAATTTTGTAAAGAAGAAAGTTAACAGTAATCAGCACAAATAAAATAAATTATAAAGATTTGTTGATATTTCCATTTTAATGGGGCGGGGGGGAGATAACCAGAAGAAATACAAAAATACTTTTAAAATACAGCATCATTGCCACAGCACATGAAAACATTTCCATAAAAAATTAACAATTTCCACTTAGACATTTCATTTTTCATCCTTCTTTGAATTTATATTCCGAAATCTTGATGTTCTCATTTCATGGATCCACAAAGATCAGTCCTGTCACAAGTGATTAAAAGGAGCGCTTCCTGTTAGAAACAGCACTTCAGGCTAATGTTTAATCTTAATTGGCAACAAGTTCAGTGCAAATAAAATTATATTTAGCAGCTTTGAAAATTCCCGGTGAGGAGGTGTTTACCTCTTAACCCTCACTGCGACCCCAAAGAGAAATCATTTTTCTCCTTTCATGGTGCGAACACTGGCCATTCAAACCTACTGAAAACTACTGAAGCTAATTCTGCTGTCTGTAACATAGTGAGTCTCCATGAAAGCTGGTTTCAGTCACTTGGCAAATGAGCCAACAGTGTTCACATTTGGAAAGTTTCCCTTAGGTCGATTTAACATACAAACAAACAAAAAACAGGGCCTGAGTATCAGTCATAACTGGATCTTACCCAACAACTTCTCTGATCGTGGAGAAGGAACCCAGAGGCACTAATCATTTCATGCATTAGCTTCCAAAGGAAAACCAGGACAGAGCTGAGGAATCTCTTAAATCAAATTCTACTCTCTGGTAATAAGTTTATTTCACTGATTTGAATGGGAAAAGGAGGAAGGAGGAAAG